AAGGTGATGATGTCCAGCTTACCTTGCCTACCCTAAGGGAACTTCCAAGTCTGCCTCAGGAGACAAGGTATTTTTTCTCCTCTAAGGCTCTGACCCTGACGTGCAAAAAGACCTCGTAGAGGAAAGTGGATGAAGCCACTGGGTCTTGGAAAAAAGAGTCAAACAATGGACCAAATGTCCTGGTAGAAACAGGAAAGCTAAACTCCCTGTGCTCTGCAATAGGAAGGAATGAGAAACTCTCCGAAAAAGTCCTGTTTAGGGTGTGCTCTGTTTAGTGGGCAAGGGTATCTGTCACCTCCATAGAGAATCTGCCTTTGCCTCTTCCAGCTGAATCTTCAGGGGGCTATCAAGGTCTGTCTCCTATCAGCTGTCACCAATGGATCCATAAATACTGTAAAATAAAATCTAGAATAATACTGCCACCTCATAATTTAAGAATATCACTCAAAAAGTTCATATTCTCTCAACGTCATGACATAATGAATGCAAGAAAGCCACAAATTTGCCAAGGAACTTTTCTTTCACACGAGTTTATTTCAGCAAAGGCTCGCTAGCATCCCAGGGGAGAGAGGAACGGAGCCACAAAACAAAGCAAAACCACGCACTGCTCACAATGCAGACCGTTGCAGAGTAAAAGCATTTGTTAGAGAAGGAACACGCTGGGGAGAGAATTTAATAAGAAACTACAGAAGAAAAATGTAAAAACTCCTAAAAGTATTTCAAAAGAATCTCTCCATTGTGTAACCAGTATCACGAGGACAATTTCACTGCCGCTGCCCCTGAAATAATAATACGGCTTCCATTAGCTCTGTATTCACTCCATCCTGTGCCCGCACGAAGCCTCTTATATCTATTGCCTCATTTCATCTTCAAATGCCACCAAAGTGACTAGGGAGATCTTCAAAGCTCTCCTGAACTTCCTCCTCTGCCTGGGAGCTCTGAAGCTCTCTAACTCCTCCCAGTTCTGGCAGGTACAAGAGAGCTGGGGTGTCTTTTAAGCTGATCTCCACAAAAAAGATTCAAGTTTTTTCAATCCAATTCCAGTGATTTTCCAGATGATTAATTCATCCACATAAACATTTCCTGAGTATCTACTGTCTTCTAGAGACTCTTCTAGGCACTCAGGTTACAAAAATAAAAGATGTGGTACTCCACCCCAAGACAGTGAAGACAACAGAGAGACTCGATGGAACAGAGAGTGGTGTGGCAGCTCGGGAGAAGGGGTGTCCAGGAAGACTTCCTGGAGGAGGTGACACTTAAGCTGAACTTTAAAGGCTGATTAGAAGTTAAAAAGAAAGGGGAAAAGCACGTGAGGTACAAGAACAGCATGTCAAAGGCACAGAAACAGGACAGCATGGCCCATTCAGGGAATAAAAAGCAGCTGATCACTGCTGAAAGGTACAGTGCATGGGCTGAGAGAGGTAAGGGTGTCCATGGGGTTATCTGTCACCGAGGGCCATTCTAAGGCTTAAGTTCACCCAGATGAGGACAGAAAAATCACACACGAGTGGCAACCAGGAGCTCTCTACTGTGAGACTGCCGTTCATCCAGCAGACCCAAATACACACGCCCAGTATCCCAGGCCCTTCAGGTGCTGTCTGCACACAGACCTGCTCTCACCCCTGTCTGCTCCAAAGAGGCCTTGGATGCTGTGGGTCCCTTTTGTCCACTCCCACCCTTTGCAGACCACCTTCATTTTCACCTGAAACTGATTCAAACTGTCTATTAACTCCATACCCCCGTGTGCACGTGCACCTGACTCTTACTGGCAGCAGAGGGCGGAAGAGGCCCGCAGACACGCCAGAGAGCGTGCCTTTCTAACAAGCCCCTGCGTGATGGTCCATGAGGCACTTTCAGCAGTGAGTGTCCGCAACAGCGCTTTTCATCCTATCTCAGGGGGAAGACCTTGTTTTCAAACTGACCATCCACCACGGACCAACACTTTCAGAAAATAAAATAAAAATGAATGATGAGAAAAGTGAAAGCTTAAGAAGACATACAAAACAGAAGTCCCAACTTTGTGTCACTGGACTCAGTAAATGTAACACGAACCTAGCAAATGACACGGGTCAGCTGAGCCCTCCCCGCATCTCCTCTTGCGCCCACAACTCCAACTGCAGAAGCACAAGAAATCATGGCTGCTAAGAAATAGGTCTAATTTGCATCAACATAGATGGATCTGGAGATCCTCATTCTAAGGGAAGTTGGCCAGGAAGAGAAAGATAGATACCATATGACATCACTCATATGTGGAATCTAAAAAAAAAAAGAACAAGACACAAATGCACTTATCTATAAAACAGAAACAGACTCACACACATAGAAAACAAACTTATGGTTACTGGGGAGAAAGGGGGTGGGAAGGGATAAATTGGGAGTCTGAGATTTGCAAATATTAACTATTATATATAAAACGGATAAACAAGTTTCTTCTGTACAGCACAGGGAACTATATTCAGTATCTTGTAGTAACCTATAATGAAAAAGAATACGAAAAGAAACACATGTATGTATATGTATGACTGAAACATTTCACTGGACATCAGAAACGGATACATTGTAAACTGAGTGTACTTCAATTAAAAATAAATAAATAAATGAAGAAGGGGAAAAAAACCCCCAAAAAACTAGGTCTAACTTCCACTGTTAGATTTTTATGCCAAAGAAGACGTGCTAGAAGAATGCAAAGAGTCTGCTTTGGGGCTTCGTGACTATATCCCCACTAAAATGGGAAAAGTGGGTGAAAAACAGCTCTCGAAGCAAAGAGGTGCAAACCTCTGACCACCTACCTGGCCACTCTTCCCCGAAGATCTCCCAGACCAGAGAGCTGACGCATCTCCAGGGTCTTTAAGGCAGAATTCGTTCCGTAGCTGATGTTGTCCCGGGCACGGATCTGCTCCTGAAGGACCTGGCGACACATAAAAACACTAATGGAGTGAGGCGGAGAGCACAGCTCAAGTGGTGGAGCGCACGCTTAGCATGCAGAAGGTCCTGGGTTCAACCCCCAGTGCCTCCTCCAAATATAAATAAACCTGATTACCTCCCCTCTCCACCAAAATAAAATAATTAAACAATACAATAATAACAACACTAACGGAGTCATTTGAGAACTCACCTGCTGCCACAGAAGCATTTTAGACTTTTGGCAAAAATGAGAATTAACTCCTTTCATAAGAGGCTCCTTTTTTGACGGTCACCTGATATACACATATATGGAGAACCAGGGGCTTACAAAGAAGGATCTCAGAGATCACACCCAGACCAAGGCCCTTAATTTACCAAGAAAAACACTTGAGACTCAGATGTCTGATTTGGTGCTTGTAATATTATGTTTCATCTTACCTAATATTAACATCGCTACTGTACTTTATACATAATAAAGCAAATTCCTGCTTGGTCTAACTGTACACCAGGCACTGTTCTAAGTGTTTTAGGTATGTTAACCCATTTAATCCTCACAACACCCTGTGGAGGAGGTACCATTATTATCCCCATTTCACAGGTGGGGAGGTCTCTAGGCGGTCAAGTAAGTTGCCCAAAGCCAAGGTCAGTACGGAACGGAGCTGGACCTGCACCAGGGAGTCTGGCTCCACAGACCGCGCGCTCCGTCATGACACTACATTGCTTTGCGTTTCCATCCATCCTTCCAGCTCACTTTAGATTTACAACTTAGCTACTTTCTATTGTTTCCTTTCTCCTTTTCCTTACTTTGACTGCTGTCATCAGATCGGCCTTCACTGCCTTTCCTCCTCTTGTCACCCGGGGGATGTTCTGGGACACCGCTGGCCCACGAATGGCTTCCGTCCCTTTCCCCACGCGCACAACCATCAGCCCATCTACTCCAGCTCCAGGCCTGCACAGCAACCCCTCTCCTCCACACCGGACACTCACACCCACCCCTACCTGCTCCCTCGCGGTCTCTCTCTTTGTATTCGGTGCTGTTTCGGCACTTCTACTTTGTCTTATGGGCAACTAATTCAATTCATGAAAGTCACCATCCTTGCCTCTAGTTCCTCTACTGACTTTTAAAAATAGTAAGTTCAAGGAAGGAATATCATGTTGTGCCCAGATCTCCTTAAGGAGTCTGTCTTGGTCAGTTGGGGCTGTTGTAACAAAATATGGCAGACTGAGGGACTTATAAACAGCCCACATTTCTTTCCTGCAGCCCTGAAGGCTAGGAAGTCTGACCTGGATGCCAGCATGGTCGCGTTCTGCGCGGGCTCCCTTCCTGGCTTGCAGACTTCTCACTGTGTCTTCCCGTGGGGGGAAGGAGGAAGCTCTGGTCTCTCCTGCTCTTCCTGTAAGGGCCCTTATGACCTCATCCTAAACCTAATTACCCCCCAAAGGCCCCACCTCTAAATACCATCACCTTGGGGATTAAAGCTTCCACATACGAATTTGTTTGGGGGTAGCAGGGGACACACACATTCAGTCCGTAACATGCTCTAATTATATTTCCACTCAAGGTCCACCTGTTTCCTGTTTCGTCCGGGTCTGTTCGAAGGGCTGTGCTCATTCTTCCTCTCTGACTGCTGGGCCCCTTCAGGTGAGATGCTTCTTTTCATTCTTTGCTCACTGGAGTGAGATTAAGAAGGTGGTCCTGGGTGAAGCGGAAGGAGCTTATGAGCTGGAGGTGCAGCCAGTGAGAGCGTAAGAACCGGCGTCCAGCTGAGGCGCCAGGAGGAAGCTGCTCTGTGTCCTGCTCTCCGCAGCCCTCCCGGCCTGGGGCAGGGGGGACACAGCCCAGCATCACAGCCCCTCCTCGCCTGCCTTCATCTCTTTGTGGGCAGGAGACCGGCTCAGTCACAGGGGCCGAGGCAGTCAGACTGGCCTTCCCTCTCTGATCTCTCTGCTGGCTCCCCTGGGCCCTCCTGCCTGCCTATACCAGCTGCTCAGGAAGGTGGCACTGGAGTTGGAAACAGGGAGGAAGGCACCCTAAGCCACCCCTGTCCCTTTACCTCCTGAACCAACCTAGGGGTTTAAAGATACATTCATGTGGAGCTATTTGTTACTACTCATTTTCAGAAATTTGATGACTTACTGACATTTTGCAATCCAACTTGCAAATGAACAGGAAAGCCCTTCTAGACATTATAACTATGCTTCAGTAAATTATTTCTGTGTTCCCCTCCCTTCCCTTCCATATTTTTAAGTATAACACACATGAAGAAAAGTGCACTTATCTTTTAATAGGATTTTCAAACCTCCTGATAAAAAGCAGAAATTAGGCATGTGAGGATTCTGTGTTTTCTCTATTGGAAACCTGGCTGGAGCCACTACAGATAGAGTGATGCTGACAGTGACAGTAAAAAAAAAATATTTCTCTGAAAGGAATTTGGAACCGCTAGACCTATTTGTTATCTGCTGTAGTTTCCAGCTTTTTCTGAATGAACCTGCTCTGAGGGAAGAATAGAAGAAACCAAACCAGTTACAATCACCTGTGAATGGTAAAACATTAGTCATGGGAGCAGACTCTTGCAAGAAAACTTGAGATCTGACTAATCTGGTTCTGACACTCTCCCACTGATGAAAAGGTGCTGGTGTGCACTGTCTCTTCTAGTAGGAAATAACACTTAGTAGTTACAGTTAATAGAAAGTCATACTTAGTATTCTGTAGCAGTGCTTCACATCTTAGTTTATAATAAGGTGGAAGACCATGGGTTCTCAGACATCTTTAGGGTGTGTAAGGACCCCAGGGTGGGGCTTGCTAAACATACAGGTTCCTGGGCCCCACTCCCAGAGAACCAAAGAGAGGGAAAGGCCCAGAAAGGCAGATAGACGGTCATGGTCCCCAGAACACTCCTGGAGAAACACTGCATTAGACACCGTAGAAAAGACAGAGGAAGCAGCAGTGAGGGTGTAGCTCAAGTGGTAGGGTGCATACTTAGCATGCATGAGGTCCTGGGTTCAATCCCTAGTACCTCCTCTAAAAATAAATAGACCTAATTACCTCTCCCCACCTAAAAATAAAAAAGACAAAGGCTCTAACCACTTGTTTTGTTTGAGTTGTTTCTCAATCAAAAAATCACTAAGCAAAGAACATGACTAGCAATTCACAAAAGAGGTTTTAAAAATAAACAACACATTTCTGAAAAGGTTCAACCTTTCTATAAGAAAGGAACAGGAAATAAAAGCCATACCATTATAATGCAACCTAAAACTGCTCTAAAACAAATTAAGCCTATTTAAAATCAAAAAGTTTTAAATCAAGCCATTTTCGTCTACTCAAGAAGCAAACATTTCTAATTTATAGAATTAAAATGCATATCAAAAATGAAAAAAGCACAGGTGGCCCTTCCAGATACAGCTTTTCCAGAGCATGATCCTTCAAAAAGCATTCACCATGTTCATAACCTTTGACCCAGTAATTCTAACTCTTGAAATTAATATTAAAGGAAATCATGAGAAAAATGACAAAAATGAACGCACAAAGGTATCTTCATAATGTGATGCACATACCACGTATTTTACAAGGTATCAACACCCCACATATTTATGCAACCAGTAATAGGTTCATGGAGAGCTATTAAAAACAGGGAAAATGTGTACAGTTTAACATCAAGCAAAAAGGGAGGGTACAAAACTGATACACAGCAGGAATCCAGCTGTGTATAAGGTAGGTAAGAAATAATACTAGAACATTAACATTTGGCTTATCTCTAGGGTTAGATTATGGTTGATTCCTCTTTTTTGTATTTTCCACCATGAGCTTTTATTACTTTTATAACCAGAAAAAAAAAAGCGTGTGTGTGTGTATGTGTTTTAATGCTAAGAAATAAGAAAAGCCCATTTAACTCAGAATTTTTATGCAGCTGAATAAGATACTGTATTAGAATTGCCTTCTTTGAATAACACAGAAGAGAATTATTTCTGAGCTTAGCACAATATTCACATTACTGGAAAGTTATGTGAAAACAGAAGGCATTAGAGCGCTAACTATTTTAAGGTATTCTGTGATGAAGCCTTAGAAAAAGTCCCTCTGTAAGGCCAGAAATGCTTCCTAGTTTGTCATTTTGTAACAATACATCATCAGGATGTGTTTACTTTAAAAAGGTTACAACTCTAAGTATATCTTCAACTCTCTTTTATTCCCAATTCAGTGCAAGAAACTCTTTTCTGCTTGCCTACTATGTGCTGTGCACCAGGCCTGCCGTCAGGAAGCTCAGTTGCAGGTAAGACCACAGGGTGGTAAGTGTGTGGCCCAAATCCACACGAGCGGAGAGGAGAAACCAGTCACCTTAGAAAAGGGGATGTCCCGAGTCTTCAGTTATTTTTCCTAAGATGGGGCCGGTCTTTAAAGAAGCTCCCTTCCCAAGGGCAGCAGACAGCGGCGCCCGGTGGAGGCCTCACGGCGCTCCATCTGTCCTGCCATTTATGCGAAGGTGATGAGGACCCAAGTGCCGGGGCGCGACCTGCCCAGACAGGCTAGGGCTGCCCGGAAAGGACCAGGAAGAAACAGCCTTCCATGTTCCTCCTGCTTCAGCTCTGCACAGATCTGTGAGGACTTGGAAATGAAAAGTATAACTCCAGCATCACTGGAGAAGGGCCCAGCTCCAGGAGGGCAGGGCCTCCAAGACTGTATCTCCTTTCATGGCTTTTTCATCTTCACACTGGGACTTAAACTTCCTCCAGAGATCCAGCCTCATGTATCAGATTCCCTTCTCGGCCTTTCCACCTGGATATCCACCGAGGCCCTAAAACTTGCCAAGTCCTAAATGGAGGTCTCTCTCCTCCTAACTTGGAGGAGGTCCTATCAGCTCCACCTCCAGAGCAGATCCAGAATCGACGCCCTTCTCTCCACCCTCACCCTGACTCCAGCATCCAAGCCACCTCGACGCCTGTCTCCCAGCCCCAGTCTTGCTTCCCCACATCCCTTCTCCACCCAGCAGCCAGAGTGATCTCTGTGAA